AAATCAAAACAAATGGACAATAGATGAACAAAAACTTGTCGATCCACACATGAGGTAGACGTTTATATTGAAAGTTTATTCTTAAGTGCTATTCTATTAATTCTACTAATAAGTGTCTAAAATCTAGTTCCTTATCTAACTAAGAACTAGTGAAGGTAAGAAAGGCTACTGAATTAAAACTAGAACTAGAATATAAATGTAATGCATATCTTACAAACTACGTAGGATCTAAACCTAACCTGAAGTTGGACAGTGAAAGTGAAAGGCCGATAGAATTGCAAGGGCCACTGAAATGTAAGTGATGATCCTAATGTTAAAACTAATCATAAACTAAACTAAACCTACTGTTGCAGTTTGAAGCGTGAATAAATCTAGCTACAGAAGTCAGTGCCTTGGTTTTCATTTATAGCTGTCGCAACAATTTGCTTTTCGTCGAGGTAAAGGTACAACCTGCTATCTCGCGGATCTAGACGAAACCATTACGGAGGCAGCGAACAAAGGAGAACACTGCGAAATCGTGGCTTTGGACATCAAAAAAGCATATGATCGAGAATGGCATAGAAATATTATGGAAAGCAGAATCGAAAGCAAAATGGGCCAAAAAATGAATAATTTCGTATATAATTTCCTGCAAGACCGATCTGGCAGAGCTTGTTTTAACGGTCAACTGTCAAAGTTCACTCGGCAGGAAAATGGTGTACCTCAAGGGTCGGTACTATCAGTCTCTCTCTTTCTCCTTTCCATGAACTCACTATTCACTGTTGTTCCAAAAAATTACAAGTTTTTCTCTACACTGATGACATACTAATCGTCGCAACGGGAAAACGTGTCAGCTATTTAAGACGAAGATTGCAAAAAGCTGTTAAAGCTGTGGAAAAATGGGCTACAAGCATCGGTTTTCAACTATCTTCTTCAAAATCCGCAACCATGCACTGTTGCAAGATGAAACGGCATCGTAGATGGCACCTCGAGGGAGCAACAATTTTGCTAGGAGGTACAGAAATTAGCAAACCAAAATTAATAAGAGTTCTAGGTATCATTTTTGATCGAAAATGCACCTTTAACCAAAACTCAAAGCAATTGAAAGAAGAATGCAGAAGTCGATTTAACCTTTTGAAAGCTATATCAAGAAAAGCAGACAAGAAAACATTGCTCTACATTGGGGACGCTATAGTCACCTCCAAATTGATGTACGGTTTGGAAATATTACGCAAAGAAAAGATCGCTACGCTGTCTCCTACGTACAACCAAATAATAAGGACGGCCTCTGGAGCTCTACGAACCATCCCAGCCCTCTCAGTAGCTGTCGAATCAGGTTGTCTACTTTTGCAGCATCTAGCTACTATCGGATTGGTAAGAAAGGCCTGTGCAATACTGGAAAAATCCCCGAAGGAATGTAATTTTCTATGGAACAAAGCCAACGTTGCATTTCGAACCCTAACGTGTAAGTCACTGCCACAGATCTGTAAGCTAGACAGAATACTTCCTAGAACATGGTTTCAAAAAACACCGTACGTTGACTGGACTATTAGGTAAAAAATCAGAGCTGGTCATGCTCCTCAACTGGCTATGGAAACCTTTCGAAAGCTGTTAGAAGAAAAGTATCAACAATTCGAACAATGGTAAACTGATGGATCACTAGCCGAAGGAAAAGTATGATATGGAGTAATTGGATCAAAATTGAAGCTAGCTTAGCTGACCAATGCTCCGTTTTCTCAGCTGAAGCAGCAGCACTTGTAGCTGCAACTCAACGTGCCAGAAATAAATCCGTAATTCTCAGCGACTCCGCTAGCTGCCTACTAGCACTAGAATCGGGGAAATCTAAGAATCCTTTTATCCAACGTATTGAACGAGAGACTGCAAACAAAGATGTACGTTTTTGTTGGATCCCCGGTCATTCTAGCATACCGGGAAACGAAGAAAAAACCTCCGAATTGTGAACAGGAAAGAGCAGATTGTCTTAACTATCACCTCACCTATCACCTATCATCAAGGATACAACCTTGAGTGACAAAATCTCGAGATTACCAATGACATACACGAAATTCTTCGCAACGACAAAACTGCCGAGGATAAACTAATCAACTTTATGAAAAAGGTAGAACGTTTCAATATAATATAGCGTGACTCTTAGCATTATTGTTATACATAAATTGTTAATAAACTTAAATTACCGCAGAGACGAATGCCCTATAAGGGTAAAGTCTCTATAAACAATAAAAAAAATTAGGAGAGCTTGAAAGAAGTATTCCAATGGAATTCCTATGATAATTTCATGATAAGTCAAAGTGGAATTCCATGAGTATTCTGAAGTATATTTTGAGGAATTTCTGAGCTTATTCCAAAAGTAATTTAAGGAATAATTCCATTGAAGTTTTGGAGGAATACTAAAAACTACTGAGGAGAATTTTAAGTTAATTCGGCTAGAACTATTAGAACTCCTAAGTGAAGTGCAGAGGGTATTCCGCAAAGAATTTCTAGAGTGGCTTATGTGGGTATTACCAGAGAGAAAGTAGGAGTCCCAAGATGGATTTCTCAGATGATTTTGAGGAAAGTCTTAAACAAATCTCAAAGATATCCTGCGAAGGTTCCAAGATAAATCTGACTCGTATATACTTCTTAGCATTTCAGGATTCTTGTGCTTTGATATTTTTGAAGATATCTAATCTAATCTAATCTAATCTAATACAAACGCAGCCAGTACGAGAAAGCATTCTGGAAAATGATAAGGTTAGATGAGGTCCAATCATTTTTCTTGTCTAATTGATGTTTACAGCATATCTGAGATATGATATAAACATCAATACGGCTAGGCCTACTGCGTTGTATTTGCCGCAAAGTTGATTCTTGGAAATGAATGGGAACATTTCTTGAATCTACAGAGGTGGAAGGATGCGTGGACATACCGTACCGAACGCTCCGAGTTACTATGTGTAGTTGTGTGTAATGTATAAATATTTGTACGTACAATAATGAAGAATCATAAAATAATGCAATCGAAGGATCTTACCGAATTTTCTCCTATGTTGGTAATGATTCTTTTACACACACGCGCGCGCACTCATGACTATAAACTGCCCAAGTAACCTTAGGCACAGCTGAACAACGACTTTATTAGTTTTTGTAAGTTCCGATGAGGCCCGCATATAGCCAAAAATGCGAAATAATGTGCCTATGGTTACTTGGGTGAACATCCCAAGTGATAGATCCCTCGAAAAGAACTAAACTTATCTTTGTTTGCTTCTTCCGTCATGTTACATGGAGGAACCTTTCAAATCCCCGTACTCCAGGCTTTTGACGATCCCCAGTGGCTGCACATTTCGGGAAACTTAGCGGAACTAAACAAAACATTCATATTGGTAATCCTCTGCTTCGTGCCCCAAAAGTCAGCTGCTCATGCTACCCGGCAAGAGCTTTGAGTCCCACTCATCTTGTACACAATTCACACGCGTATCTGTTATGCACTTGTCAACATTGATTTAAAAGCTTCGCGACACTATACTAGCATTACAAACATTAAATTAAAACTTGATGAATCAGCGGAAGAAAAACACACAGCAAAAATTCACACGTCAGTCTTCAAGCGCGGCCCACTGCGATCTCCTTTTGATATTTTTGAAGATATCGAGCTAAAACAAATTTTCGAAACTATGGAAATTTTAAAGATCTGAGATTTAAAATCAATTTCAGAATGTATTCACATTTTAAATTGTAGGTAGATTTGCTTTTCAAGACTCCGAAACTATGAATTTTTCCCCCTTCTTTTTTAAACTTGGTTATGCCCTTGTCAATATTTACCATTTTCAAGAAGCTGATTAACTTGTGTGCTCCATAATCTGCTTCAATTTCCAAACATAATATGCCTTCAAACGTCTTCAATAAAATCATGAAAGGTCTTATTTATGTGTAAAAGATCTGTAAGATCTTACATCGAATATTTGAATGGTACGAATATTAATTGATATTTCCATGAAGTAAAACTAAGAAGATTTCTATTACCCCCTATCCTCCCTTGAGTGCTTACGTAATTATTGAATAACCCCTAATCACGTTGCATCCGTTGGAAATATGATGCGGAAAAAAAATGACGTTCATAGATCATAGATTTACCTGTCATTTTGTGGCAACATATTACTATCGGATGAATTGTTCGTGGGCCTTAAGAGTCTAGGATAAGAACGGAGCCAACTGTCAAAGTCAGAAACAATAAGGCAATCCATGAGGCAGCTGCGGTCAGCTGATTTTTGTTTGTTCACCAAGAAGTTTTGACAGTTCACAGTTGGGCTGACGGATCTTGTCCATTGAAAATAGAATTGCTTATGTTTAAATTTTGCATAGACAACACCTGTCCACTCACGCAGTCAGCTTTTTAGCTGTCAGGTCAACTGCGAAACGCCTAAAGGTTCACCTTATCGAACAAAGGCTATCGAGGCTGTCTAGTTATTACTAACAATATCGCTATGAACGGCCTGGTCAGTTTGTTTTGAATCCGCACATCTCTTATCCTAGACCCTCCAACTAGTTAAAACAGTTTAACACTATGGACACGAGATCCAAAAACAAATAAAATCGTTCGAAACGCCAATAGCTACCAGAAGCAACAAAATATTCACTTAATATCGAAAAAAAATAAATCCAACTCCGGCCTACGATGAAGCCTCACTCTCTACTCATACGACCTAAAACGTTGCATTGTTTTGTTTTGGATTTTTAAGTTTCATGCATTTTCCGTTTTGTTCTGAACATGACCATGATGAGTTACCTCGCTGCGACACGCTCTATCAACTCTGTACCCTCTAGATCGGTGTTTGTTTCGTGTTCTTTTTCGTTTCTGTTTGAGTTCTCAACGTGTATATCTATGTGGTTGTGTCTCTGCAATAAAAAAAAATTAAACAATAACAACAAACAACAACAACAAAAACAACTAAACAAAAACTGACAAGCGGAAACGGAAAGAGAAAAAGCGAAAACAAAAATCCTATCTATTTCTTTACCAAAAGGGAACAAAACATTCTAGCGCTTTAAGTCTTCCGACTGAAGTACCGCAACGCGCAAATTCCGTACCACCGTCACCTAGCACAAACGAAATTCGTTCGCCGCACAGCACTTCCTCGAACCAGGGAAGCGATTCGCTGTCCAGTTCCGAGCTAGCTTTGCATGATTTCGGTTTGCGAGGCCACCACCGGCGGGCCCGTCCCAAGGTCTCCAGTGCCGATTCGATCCTGGCCATGTTCAAGAACTTTGCCACCTCGAGCGCCGGCATCAACCTTCCGTCGTCGATCGTAATTTCGCCATCGTCCACCCCGACGGCGTCCAGCCCACAGGACGACGTGGCCGGCGATGACGACTCGTCGACCTCGTCAATCCACACGCCGGTTAGCTACTCTAGCGGAGCACCCGACTCACCCGTGTTCTACCGTCAAAGTACGATCGAAGTACCTGTTCTCGATGCACTTAGCGCTCACAAAACGACGCCCTCGACTACCACCACCACCAGCACGCAGATGCATCCCCCAACCATACTGCTGGAGATACCCAGCAACGGAATCAATAACAAGTGCCTGTCTCCAATCAGAGAAATGCCCACGCCGATCCCGTCGCCAGCGTTGACGCCAATTATGCCACGACCCCAGCGGATGCGAACCCCCCAGAACATGCATGACGAGTCGATGTCCGTGACGTTCAGTGGCGACTATTCCGGATACAACGTAAGTCCCCATGGTGGTCCCAAGCCGTTCGGTCCTGTCTAATCTGATTCTTCTTTTGCTTCTTCCAACTCAGAACTCGAAACCCAACCAAGTCACAATCGAAATCAACCATCCCGAATCGGACACCGATTCACCCACCCCAACGAATCTATCCTCTCAGAGCGACTCGAATAGTTCGAACGGTTCCAGCCGAAGCCGCAAAGTCCCACTACTTCCGAAGATCTCGATCGATGTTCAACCTCCTACCCCCGAGCGAGAACGAGCGGTGCGTCCCCGCGATTTGATCATCCCGGAGCTAATCATCCAACATCCCAGTCCAACGAGGGAACGCTCGTCGGTAGTGATGTTCCCCGGTTCGCCTCCTCCCCAGCGAGCCAGCATCGGAGAGACTAGTTCCTTCTTCCCCAACAAGCAGCAGCAGAAAAGGTGCGACCCTCTGTAGTGCAGGGCCTTAGTCGATGTGTTCAATGTGTCCCTAGATGTGCTTGATGTTGTTTTGTGTAGTTCAGTGTCTAACCAGTTGACCCCTTGCACTTGCAGATTGCTGAAACAGTGGGAGAAGCCCGGTTCGCTGGATCTCCCATTCGATCCACCGATGATCACGATCACGTCCAATATGAGTGAGCTGGACTCTGACGCCGACTATATGTCACCGGCCGCCACAGGTAAACAAAACGGGGCCAACACCCTAGGCGTGTCCGGTAATTCCGTAGGCATGTGCTATCTCAGTCCGTTTTCGATGTGTATCCGCGGTGATCGAGCACCGTCTGAAAGTAACCTTAGTTCATCCGGCTACTCTAGTATGGCTAGTCCCGGTCCCAGTAGGTGCGGATCTAGCAATCCTCTCTTTCCGAGCGAGATGGAAGACCCCGGTTCAGGTGAGACTTGATGCTTTTCCACAGAGATGATCGTACCCTTACCTAACTTGATGTTTCGCCATTGCGCAAGGTTCCGGTGGAACGGGCTTCCCTGGGCTGAGCTCCATGATGGGAGCCAACGGTCGTCGTCATACATCGATTCTGAAGAAACACAACGAAGCTACCGGTGGTGCCGGTGGAACGGCCACCGGTGGCACCACCGACCGTCACGAGTCCTTTCGGTTGAGGTCGGACTCGGAGACGCTATCCGATGATCCACTGCTCGAGTCCAACGACGAAGGCATCGGGACCGATCACCTGGACGAAAAGATCGAGGAGGGAGAAATCAAAAGTGCCAAAGATTTGGAACTCTACATCGGCAATGAACTGATCGAGAACGGGCGTAACATACTGAACCAGACGGAGGCAGTGTCCATGTCCCAGCTGCAGCTGCCCTCGATTGTGATTCAGACAGAGAGTGGGTTCGATAAGCTCTCGCCGGTTTCGTCACGCTCCGAGAGCCCCCTGAGGTAACTGAGCCCGTGTAGAGAGAAAGAGAGAGAAAGAGACAGTACACAGAGTTGACACGGATACACGACCAGACTTCATCTTTCCCCCCTAAACAAAAAGGTCGAATCGTGATCGTGTTCTAGGAACGGTGGGTGCTCGAAGGTTGAACTTCTCGTGTAAATTGGTAGAACCCCCCACAGATTGAGCGCACGGTAAACGAGCCTTGATTAGCGGTAAATATGTATATTTTGTCACCATCCAGATGTACATTTTCCTCTGAACACATACTTTCAAGCACTCTCTAGGCAAAACTTGATAATCTCCACTCCCCCCCCCCCTCGCCCGTGCCCTACTTCACAACTTGATGCAAATCACGCAAACCACCCGCCCCTCACGACTAGGTTCAAAATTATACAGAATATGGAATGCCTGTTGATTTTCTAGATCAATGCACAATCTTTTTCCAAGAATTACAGGTGATAATTGGCAAGATGTGATCGCGAAAGTTCCAAAAGCCCACTTCCCTTTTGAAGAAATCCAAATCCTGTTCCCACGCGAACCGATTAAATCCTCACTGCGAACGAGAAGTTCAGCCATCTTGCCTTACACGTACACACAAAACACAACTAGCGAAGACTTCCCCCCTACAACTACTACAACAACAACAACAACAACAACAACAACTGCAACAAACTAGACGGTGCGCGTCTGCTTAGCACCTGCCCACCCCTCAGATGTCAGCACCAGTCTGCCATTTCTCCACCCACCAAACCAAATTCCCTTTTCCAGCGATCGAACCGCCAGCATGGAACGGTTCTCACCACTATTCTACGGCAAGAAGGACCAACAGCTGCCATTTACCGATTCGGACGGCCTGTATGACTTCCCCTCGTCCGATGGTAAAGGCAGCTCGACGATCCATCACCGCAAGAGTACCGTAGGCCGCAGGAGAGAGCGTCGCAGCTCCCGCTCCGGAGCGACACTCTCTCCTTCGAAATCGACCTCGATACTGCTGGACATTCCCAGCGGAGGCAACAAGGACAAGGACTACGGCTCCAGCCTTCACCATCCCCATCAAACCACAACCAACGCGCACAGTGGCACCGGTTCCAAGTTCTCCTGCGCTACGCCGACTCGCAAAAGCCCCAAGAGGCGTCCACTCTACCGGCATCCCATAGCGAGTAGTTCATCGTCTGAATCGTTGACTTCCACTCGCGAGTACGCACAAAGATCTAGCAAAGGTAAAAGCGCTTGTTGACCGTCACCTTCCTTGCTTCACACAATTTCAGCACTCACCCCCGCTCACAATCACTAATTTTGTATAATCGTATCTTCCCCTTTGCACACATTATCAATCCACATAAAAAACAAACTATGACACCGAACCAGCGTTCATATCGTTGACGAGGGAAACCCACCTGTGCGACTCCGGAGATGACACCGGCGAGGTACGTTCACAAGCCACCATCGGCTACAATACTGGCAACACTGGCAACATCAACATCAGCTTGCCGGCCACTACAGCGGACTCTATCCAACCGACCATTCTCAATAATCCTATCCCCCCCTCCGATCAGCCTTCCGCTATCCTTCCATCAACGTCATCCGAACTGCCAATGTCTCATCAGAAACCGGACGCTCCGTCCCGGTTCGCCAACTGCGCCGATTCCGATCTGTTCCGGCGCTTGTTGAACTACAAGCTGGACAAACTGCGCACGATTCCGGTGCAATCTAGCAAACAATCCAGCACGTCCTTCGATAGCTATGGCTACACCCGAATCGGTCAATACGATGACGAGTTTTACGACGATGATGATAACGTTGATGTTGATGATGATGATGATGATGAAGATGATGATGACGATGATGACGACGATTATTACTATGAAAAGGTTTTGTTCTCTTTGCAACACTCTGTCCCTCTCTGTCGATCTTGCTCGCTTTTGTCTACCCTGTGTCCCCACACACCTCATCGGATTGGAATACGTCTAAAATCGTAGCTAAAACAAAAATTACGCCCCACACATCCACCACCAACACCATTTAGAATGTTTATTCTACCCCAACCCTTTCACACATACACACACTTATAGAAAAAAAAATAACAATCGGAATTGCGAAATTGCGAAGAATAGAGAGACCATTAGTAGTTCCTGTTAGAGCGTTAGTAATGCCTAGATGTTTGCGTTTCAGTTTTTCAGTAGAAAATTTGTAGAAAACTAGTAGGCGGGTTACACTTTAGCCCACGTCAAACTCTAGAAGGTTTCTAGTATTTAGTGTACAAAAGTTATTGTTCGAATTGGCTGAATATCCACAGGGCTGCCGAGTTACTTCGTTCCGAAATTTAGGTTTAGTGATCTGTTTGCACATGTGACACTGCTGCCATCTGCTCTGTGGGTGTGAGTTTGTGTGTGTGTGTGTGTGTGTGTATTTTGTTCGTTGAGTTACAATACAGCATCGTAGATGACCACCACCACCACCGCCACCAACTCTCTAGATATCATCAATTGGTAGTAAGTAGTTTGGCTTTCATCAATCAAATCGAAGCGAATTATTCATCCATTCATCATCATTTTTCAGAGTGGACCATTCAATCGTTAGAGTGATTCGAAGCGTAGATCATTCCTGTAGAACTTGCTCTAATATATTGAACTTGAGTGAGTTTTCTGTTGATGCGTTTATAGTTGTGACTTCCCTTTAGTTTGACCTGGACGAACGGTTGAAAACTTCAAGCTTATCGAAAAACGGTATCCGATAATTAGGTTGAATGGAGAATTGAGCCGAAGTACGTAAGACCGAATGGGTCATCAGGTAGGATCAGGAAAAAATTGAAATCTTGGATTAAAAACAAAACTGTTGCAGAGCTCAAATAATAAGAAAAACAACAGGGGATTCGACAAAATTGTATTAGACACACTTCCCAACAAACATTGAAAGCTTAATAAGAGCTTATTCAGGCAAAAATGTGCTTCTTCAACTAAACAATTGCTTATTCAGCTTTTAATCAGCTCAAATTGCTTGTTGGGTTAGACATAATTTCAAAACTCTATCAAATTTTCAACATTCCAAAACTTATTAATAGTTTTAGTATTCTGGGGCTGTGACGTAGCGATGCTAGGAACGTTTCTAATGTCAAAAAAATGTCAAGCAACTATTTTGCCTCCAAAAGTTCTTCTAGGAGAGATCCAATGAAATTTATAATAATTTCAAAGGACTTCTAAAGGAAGTTCCTTTAGACTTCTAGTCCATGAAGGCTTCTGTTAATTTTCTGTGATTTTCCTTAAGTCATTGGAACTGCCCTGAAGCTCCGTTATCTTTACAGAAGCTTTAACTACCCCAAAGCAAGCAGAACTTACCCTTTAAGGTCATTAAACTTCCCCAATGCTCTAAACGATCTCCAACTTCTTGGAGCTGCCCTGAACTGTTCCAAATATCTTTAGACTTCCCTAAAATTTTCGGAATTTTTCGAAGGCTCCCGTTGAAATAAATGAAAGTTTTCTTGTGAACTTGGCTCAGAATTCCTGTTAATATCCTCCAGGAATTCCGTGAAATTCCTCCGTATCTTCCTGTGGACTTTCCCACTTCCAAAAGAACTGTGGACATCCTTCCTGTATTCCTGTGGACATCCTCTTGATCTTCCTGTGGACGTTCTCCAGATTTTCCGCTGTACTTCCTACAAGTGTTAACGCCCTCCAGATCCTCTTGTGGATTTCCTTCAATATTTCTGTGGATCTCCTTCAGATCTTCTTTTGGACTATCTCCAGATCTTTCTGTGGATTTCTCCAGATCTTCATATGGACTTCTTCAAGATCATTCTGCTGAATGCCTCCCGATATTCCTGTGGACTTACTTCCGGTCTTCCTGTTAACTTCCTTCTAGTTTTCCTGAGGACTTCCTTCAGATTTTTCTGAGGACTTCTTCCAGATATTTGAACTTCCTCTAGATCTTTCGGTGGACTTTCTCCAGATTTTTCTGTGAACTTCCTGGTAACTTCCTTGAATGTTCTCGAGGGCATCCTACAGTTCTTCACTTGGACTTTCTCCAGATCTTTCTGAGGATTTCATCAAGATCAGTCTGTGAAATTCATCCTGATATTCCTGTAGATTTCCTCCCGGTATTCCTGTTTACTTCCTCAAGATCTTCCTATTTACTTCCTTCAATATTTCTGTGGAACTGCTACAGATCTTCCATTGCACTTTCTCCAGATTTTTCTGTGGATTTCTACAGATCTTCATACGAACCACTTCAATATCTTCCTATGGACTTCCTTCAGACCTTCCTGAGGACTTTCTCCAGTCTTCCTTTGAACTTCCTCCAGATCTTCCTGAGGACTTCCTTTTAACTTCGTTCAATATTTTTGAAGACATCCAACAGATCTTCCTTTGGACTATTTCCATATCTTTATGTGGATTTCTACATGATAATTCTGTGAAATACCCTCCAGGTGTTCCTGCAGATTTACTCCTGATATTCCTGTTTACTTCTTTAAGATCATCCTATTTACTTCCTTCATTATTTCTGTGGAACTCTTACAGTTCTTCCTTTGGACGTTCTCCAGATATTTCTGCCCTTTGGAAGTTCTATGAAGTTTACCTCGGAAGTACCAAAAACTTCGTATTGGAAGCATTTCTTGGAGGATTCATTGAACATTCCTTGAAATTTTTTTGGGGAAGATTAAGGATCTTCCCAAAAAAAGACCATCAATATTTGCATTGGAAGTTCCTTGAACTTTCCATCGGAAGTTAGTTGAACTCCCCGTCGGGAGTTTCTAAATCATTCACTTGTCTGTCTAAATTGAGTCTAAGTTGAGGCATTTTGACATTTAGACAGAGAACTTCAAGGCAGTTTGATGAACTTCAGTAACATCTCGATGAAGATCAGGACAGAGAACTTCAAGGCAGGTTGATAAACTTCAGTAAAATCTCTATGAAGATCAGGACAGTTATTTTAACTTCAAGAAAAATGTAGGAACTTTTAAGAAGTTTCAAGAACTTCCGGGAACTTCAGGAAACTTCTGCTTTGAAAAAAAAGATCTGAATGACCAGAGAACTTTAGAACAAATCTGAGATCTTCAAGGCAGTTCAATGAACATCAGATACATACAACTTAACAAATGTTTGAAGAACAAATAATATATAGACCAGATAACTTCAAAGAAGTTTAGATATCATATGGAAAGGAACGTGACCTTTGAGGCAGTTCCACGACCATTAGGAATTTTAGAGTTGTTCAGAGGATCTTAAAAAAAAATGAGAACTTTCTGTTTGTTCTAATAACTTCAGAAAAATTATTGGCTACAAAGAAGAAGTTTCAAATGATTTATTAAAGCTCCAAGAGCTTCAAAGCAGCTCCAAGAATTTTAAGATCGTTTTGAACTTTAGGAAGTTTAATGACTATAAAAGGTAAGTTCCGCTTGCTTCAAGGCAGTTACATAGATTTTAGGAAAATTCCGAAAGTTATGAAAAAATCGAGAACTTTAGAACACTTTCATTAATTTCAACGGGAGCCTTCAAGAAATTCCGAAAATTTCAGGGAAGTCAGGAACAGTTCAGGGCAGCTCCAAGAAGTTGGAGATTGATTAGAGCATTTGGGAAGTTTAATTACCTCAAAGGGTAAGTTCCGCTCGCTTCAGGGCAGTAACATAGGTTTCAGGGAAAAAATCTAGAACTTCTGTAAAGATTAGAGACCTTCAGGGTAGTTCCAATGACTTTAGGAAAATTACAGAAAATTAACAGAAGCCTGCAAATTTTCAGGAAAGTTTAAAGACCTTAAAGTAAGCTACGTGAACTTCTGGGCAATTCTAAGAACTTCAGTACAGTTCCACGATTATCAGAATAAAATTGCCGGAATTTCAGGGAAATTCCGAAAATTTCTTAAAAATTTCGAGAACATTAATTTCATTAATTTCAGTGGGAGTCTTCAAGAAATTTCGAAAATTTCATGGAAGTCCAGAGATATTTCCAACAGTTCATTGCAGCTCCAAAAATTTCAAAATCGTTCAGAGCTTCGGGAATAATTAATGACATTAAAGGGTAAGTTTCGCTCGCTTTAGGGCAGTAACATAGGTTTCAGGAAAAAAAAATCTAGAACTTTTGTAAAGATAAGAGACCTTTAGGGCAGTTTTTTTCAGATTTCAGAAACTTCACAGAAATCTGCGAAGCTTCAGGGAAGTTTAAAGATCTTTAACTAAGTTAGAAGCACTTCTTTGCAATTCTGATACCTCCATAGATTTCAGGAAAATTTATGGAACTTCTGTAAAGATATGAGACGTTCAGGGCAGTTCCAATGACTTTAGGAAAATTGCAGGACCTTAACAGAGATATTTAAAACTTCAGGAAAGTTCAAAGATCTTTATGTAAGTTTCGTGCACTTCTGGGAAATTCTGAGAACATCAGTACAGTTCCAGTGGAAACCTGAGGAAAATTTCAAAAACTCTAAAAGAAATCTAGAACTTTAGAACTTTTTCACTAATTTCAGCGAGAGCTATCAAGTAGTTCCGAAAATTTCAGGGTAGTCCAAAAATATTTGGAACAGTTCAGGGCAGCTCCAAGAATTTCGAGATCGTTCAGAGCTCCAGGGAACACTAATGACCTTAAAGGGTAAGTTCCATAGAGTTCAGAAAAATCTAGAACTTCTGTAAAGATAAAAGGCCTTCAGGGCAGTTCTAATGACTTTAAGAAAATTGCAAGAACTTCACAGAATTCGATAAAATTTCAGGGAAGTTTAAAGATCTTTAAGTAAGTTACTTGCCCCGTAACGTGGGTAGATCACCTTTTCGTGGTACGTTACGGGATGTAAGATCTACCACCGATTCCTAGTCCTAACTTCTTCAAACTAGGGGAACAGGATTTTTCAGTAATCAAAGGAACACATCTTAGTCCTTGTTACTTTT